GGGAAGACGGGCTGTGTGAGGTAGTGGTTATTGGATATGTAATGAGAATGATGGAAGAGTTGGAAAAGTGGTGATGTTTGATGCGATGTCATTTCACAACCCGTTCATAAAGGTGGTTGATGGCCTCCAAGAGGAGCAGAGAAACAGAAACAGAAATGCAATCGACTTACGCAAAGACACAAGAGCAGACGACTCGGCAATCTCAGATGCGAGCTCCGCAGCCAGCAGTTTCAACTGCGTCTGAGCAAATTCTTGGACATTAACGGCCATTTTTAGGGTTTGTGAGACGAAATTAAGAGTGAGAGGTGCTGTCGGATGGCTGGTGGGGTCGGTTGTTGTTGTGTGGTCGTTGAATTGTGGGTTCGCTAAGACTGAACTGAACGGATGGTATGTACGTAGAGAACGGGAAAGAAACGTCAAAGCACAAACAAACACATCCAGAAATTTGGGAGGTATATAATTTTCCAATTTGTAACCGTTAATTCTCATTTCAGCCTTGTACCTTCAGAAATCAACCCTGGGTATCCAAGAACCTCTGTGAGCTAACCCGCCCGACTCCTCCTCATGCATCATCCAACTTGGGTATTCATAACCATAACGCAACAAGAACATGCAAACCCTCAACGCCAGATAAACCAAACCAAACCCAAAAAAAAAAAAAAAAAAAAACCAGCTAGCCCTCCCAACTACGACCCAAAATTATTCTGCACCGCCAAAATCACCACCAACGACGCCATCGTAACCGTAAACGCAATCAGCGCCGCCAACATAATCGTGCCCCGGCTCGCCGGAAACTTGCCCTTGATAACCCAGTACTGGCCCTGCAAGAACCGGTTGTATCCCAACAGCAGAATCAAAATACTGACAGCTAGAAAAGCCGTGCCGAGCGGCTTGCCCAAGTGGCGCAGCGTGTCGGCTTGGTGCGAGTCGTCGGCCAGCGACGTGTTGAGGCGGAAGAGCTGGGTGATGGCGATGCCGATGGAGGCGAAGGCGAGGGAGGTGCGGAGCCAGGCGAGGAATGTGCGTTCTGTGGTGGGCGACATGGTTAGTTCGCGTTCCTTTAACGGATAAATGGGCAATGAACTCACCCAACGCCAAATGATCCCTTGCCACGCTCCCCTTATTCTCCAACTCAATACTCTTAAAATACCGTAACTTCCTCTTCCACGACGGCTCGTCCGGCTCCCGCCTCGGTCGATCCCGCAGCTCCTCTTCACCAGCACCTCGCCCCGATATCCGTGGCGACGACGGTATCGTGCCCGCCCCGTGCGCGCCCGAGTTCTTCCTACTCCCATTGCTCAACGCCGACCGCTTCCGCGTGCCGGGCGCGGGATTCGTCTCGACGGTGCTCTGGTAGTTGAGCGAGCGGTGCCGCTCGGGCTGGGTCGTGATCACCCCGTCATGGTCTTCACCATTACCCTGGCCATTGCTGTTATTGAGATCGTGGGGCCATCCTGAGCCGGAGGGGTCGCTGGCGCGGCGCTCGCGCTCGAGCAGGGGTTGTAATCGGGGACTGACGTGGGCCGAGTTGGGGCTGGAAGCGAGAGAGTCGGCGCGGTCGCGGGCGGTCTGTTTTGCGGCGGTGGGTTAGAATAGTTAAAACCAAAATGCTTTCTTTTCATCAATCTTTCTTTTCTTTTTCTTCTTCTGGCGTATTGCAGTGTCTCAGACCAGGAGCAACAACGCGACGCACGTGCGACGTGGGGGTGGGAGGGCATTGGCGCGCGAGCACGCAATACCAAGGGGGGGTGGGTGATGGTGGTGAGTGGAGGACAGGACGAACGGTCAGATTGAAGAGGTTGTTCGCTGACGGGCCGAAGATCGCTTCGGCAAGGCGAGACATTGCTGGGCCCCGGATGGTGGTTTGGTTGGACGAGATGCACCCGCTGTTTCTTCCGCGCGATGTGTGATGGTGTTTTCCTTTTTCCTTTCTCTCTGTTCTGTTCCTGAACCTGTCCGGGGGGCTGGGCTGCTCGCTGCTTGCGAGGGGGGCCTGTGACAGGTGTGTGGGGTAATGATGGACACGAACCCGTCCGCAACGGTCTCTAGGGTGCCTCAGGTGCCCAGGCCGAGAGGTTCAACGACAAATAAAACTAACCTCGAGAATCCCCTGGATGCGGTCTTTGGACGACTTGCGCGGGCTCAATTGCAGTGTCACAGGCCGGGAGAGAGGTGCGAGACCGGGCGAACCCGCTTGCTGGGACATGGCGGGTGTTTATCGTCGGGTGCAGATGGTCTTGGTCGACGGGACCTGGAAGCTGTTGTGTCGTGCTGCTGGACTGGGCGGGCAGGCAAGCTTAGTTAGGGATCCCGTTCCCGTCTGTTGGGTCCTCTCTTCGTTAGTGCCTTGGACGGCGGCGAACGGCACGGCAGTCGGGACAGGAATGACGAGAGTTATCGGTGGCGTCAACTCGCGTGATGATTGCGATCAGTTTGCCCAGGTGAAAATGCCCGGAAGAATTTATTAGTACCTTAGATAACCAATCCATTTTCTAGCTCCAATCCAGTGAGATTGGTGCGCCTGGGCCTAGATTTTGAGGGAACTTCCTTCCCCAGAACCAGAGATGGAGGCCGTCGAGGGTCTTCCTGGAGCGCTGGAACTCGACGTCATGGGTGCGATGGCGCCGAGAGCCGAGCGAATCACCCACTGCGGAAGCCGGCAAGTGCAAGGCGATTGGCCAATTGGAGCCGAAGCTTTCTGGTTCTGAGCAGACAAGTCGGCGATGCCGTTCCGCTAGTGGGCTGACTTTTCAAGGAGGTCAGTCATATGTTCACCTGATTTTTCAGTATTCGCAAGTGCACATGACTACGACCGTCTGCACCTAGAATTATATCCAGTCGATCAGATGCACTATCTGAGAGGGCATACTTTACAACTTTCTCCGTGGACCCCTCGGCTATCGGGCTCGCTTACACAGGCACGGGAAGTGGGGTTGAGCTGCCCCTCATCGCGCTTCCCTCGAGACTGCTTGAGCTTGACAGCGTTCGAGAAATTCTAGGTTCTGACTGTATCCTATCGATATTCTTATCTCAGGAGCTCAGACCAGCCGTCGGCGGTGTGGCGCTCAAAGTCACTTTGAGCTCCACCCAGATTTCGACCAATCAGTGGTCAAGATCTGTCACCGCCAGATGTGTTTTGGAGGGAAACCGGTACGGCCGAGAGGCCCCACAAGTACTTGTGGGGTGGATCCACGCCACTCTGTGGCGTAGCCATCCATGACCTCAGAAAACCGGCTGTGATCCAGAGATAACTGATGGTCAATTTCGTAGTGCTCTGTGAATTCCACCTCTTGCCCCAATCAGCCACAGAGACCAGAGACGGGATGCAGTTGTGTCGGTTGGTTTGCCGCGCGGTGGGGGGGGGTGGGGGGGGGGGTTGGGTGGGGGGGACCCGGGCGGTTAAACGACTTTTGGCGCGAGGTGGATGTTCGAGAGGAAATTCATTTGTTAACAGTGGCTTGATGCAATTTTTCATCAATGTGGTTGCATTGGCCCATAATACCTTTGGTTTCCTCTGCTTTCTGATGTCCTGGGCTTTCCCGGCATCTTCATATTGTCCCAAACCAGTGACGCAACTGGGGCAGAGCGATTCCATGCTTGGTTGAGCGACACACTCTGCAGCGTAACCGTTCTGGCTTAGCCCCCCGAGAGACTTGTCAACAACTCCCATGCAAAGACCAGGGGGCTTTCTAATCGGACGTCAGAAGGTGGCAGACAGGCCAAGAGGTTGATAAGCTGGGATAAGGGACGCGGCGACGGACTCGATGACCGAACGCGGGCTTTTGCGCACTGGATGCCTGTTCTCCGTGTACATCGCCGCCGAGCTTTATAGCGTCACCAGGCCAAAATTGTGTGGGATTCCACTACTTGGGTCATGTCATGTCACCATCACGCAAGGTAGCGTCATCTCAAAGTGTTGAATGCGTCATGCGAGAGGGAGAGTTGTGCAAAACGGGAAGCTCTGGTGAGATCATTGCAGTATATAGTTGCCGAACAAATCAAATATTAAAATTCATTTTTACCGCCTTACTTGTTGCATCTTCACAGGCACTCTTTCTCTCTAGCCGAGTTCTTTCCCGTTTACGAACCCTTGAATAGGGACGCAACATATCCTCAAACTCCGCTGTCCCAATCCGTAGTTCAAGATGCCCAAGCATGATATGACAAAATCGGATTCCTCGCGAATCCAGTCATCACAAGTTTAGCATATCCAGTATTCACAACGTTATCTCCCTGACGAGACAACAGGCCAAGAGCGGCGGTGACATGAGCTCCGGCGGCTTCGCAGCTCGCGCACAGTCGGCCGGAGACCGATCGGGTGCTTCGCAGGCTGCCCCGACTTCCCAGGGGACGGGGGCTTCGGGCTTCACTGGCAGTTCCTCCGGTTCGAACAAATCCGGCACTGGGTCTAGTGCCACTTCGGGGACCAAGAAGTAAAACCGAAGCGACCAAGACACATCTTCATGATAACACTATTGCACCGTATTTTTGGCAGAGGAATCCCTCGAAAGGCTGGATAATCTTTTTGAATTACCTTGTACGTCGACATCAGAAAGTTATGTACTCTAACGTGAATAATATCTTCGAGTTATCTCAAATCATGTCTCGCCGGATCCCTATGTAACAACGCATGATGAGGAAAAGCTGTTCTACTGCCGACAGAATTCTCCAGGACGTATAATCGAGGTATTCCTCCGCAGGATACATGTATGTCACGATGAGTTTCAAGCAAAGAAGCGTTGCAGAGACAGATTATTGCGCAAGTCAGTCTGTTAGGTGCAAGTCGTCGGACTTTTGCAACGTAATTTCTCGCCCGTGACTTGCTAAGCAGACCCTTAGTCGACAGCGAGGTGTACACTACAAAATGTAGAGCAAGCCCGGATCCACATCACCAGCCCTTCTTTGAAGCTCTCGTCTCTCGGGTCGCCACTCATTGACAGCGGGATACAGACAATTGCTTCAATTCCTACCATGTTGTTCCGCTCGGAGCTGCCCATGGTGATCCGCACCGCCCATCCGGCCTCCATCTCCTTCCTTATTCCACCTAAAGCCCGTACATCCTCCTTTTCTAGATTATAAGTTATGCCTTGGCTCTTCTGCCCCTTTGTCCGCGAGTACATTAGGTAGTTAGTCTTGGGATAGTGATGACATAAGCAAGCCAGCATAAAGGCTGTTTCCCAAGTGTTCAACTTCTTGATCCCCGCGGTTGAATTACTTCCCCAGCATGGCACGGGCTTACATCTGAGAGCATGTCGAGCAAGGGAGAAGCAGACTGCTGTCAGTTAGTAAGTCAAATCATGCACCTCGGAGGTCGCTCACAACCCGGAGAGGTACCAGTGCGCCGACTCGCGGGATATACGACCACAAAAGTAGTTACAACGCCCTTGACTAGATGGTATATACTAGCTGGCGTATAGTATACTGGGGGTAAGAATTGGCCAATTAACAGCGTAGTTATAGGTTAGTACGGGTGGGGCAAACCCGGAGGGCACAGGTGGCTTGCACCAGACTAAACAGTTCACCTTCATTTTATGAAGACTTTTGGACTTGGACTTTCTCATTGGGAACGACTGGGGTGGCCGAATCCGGATTAATACATAGGTACGGTGCACCCTTAGTGCCAAAAAGGCTCAATGATTTTTCGATTTTCAAGTTCGTGCGCAAGTCAATGCCTGCACCACAACTTGCAGCCATGTAAGTCGCAAAACACCAGCATCAACCTACAATACTATACATTAATATGGAATCAAGGTATATACCGGATAGTGATACAAGGTATGGGGCGGCCAGAGGTTTAAGGCGTAGGTTGGCCATCTGACTACCCTCGAGGTAAGGTACAACTAGAGTCGGCCAGCGGTACTGCCCGGCTGGCCTGGAGCTCAGACCTCGCACCGTTCGACCTGATACTGCCCGGGGCTCCTACCTATTACGGCTTACACCTCCAGCTTGTATCGAGGGTCGGCTATACCTTGCTTACATTGTTAGGTATTTCGCCAACCCACACCTTAAACCTCACATCGATAACCGATATATAATTAAATCGTCATCTATTCCAAGATTTAACGTTGTGGTTTGGTAGTGGTATTTTACGGCTTACATGGCCGTAAGTTGTGGTGCAGGCACCGACTTGCACACGGACTTGAAAATCAAAAAATCATTGAGCCTTTTTAGCACTAAGGGTGCACCGTACATAGGTCGACCAAGCAGCAGGAGCAGCAATACCGTCCTCTCATCTTTTCAGATACAAAGCTGTCTGATGGCGGAGGTACCAAGGACTTGAACAGTACTCCTTCCAATTCTTATCCAAGCGGCAGAAAACTGCCATAGCCCCGCCCGATAAGATATACCATCACACTCGCAGACACTCGCCCTCATCCACTCCCACAGTACCCCCGAGCCACTACACCCCTCACACTGCAACTTCGATAGCAGCTCCCAAGCCCAAGGTCCACCAAGATAGTAGGCAGAAACCCAATAGCCGTCTGAAGCAAGGGATCCATCTTCTGCTCGCCCGTCAGCCACTGGTGAAGGCGCAGCCACGAGACCCCGACGACACTGCGCGTGCCGATGACGACCAAAATCAAATAAGGGCTGCTCGAGACGTGCGGCCAGACAAAGATTCGGAGTAGGGCGTTGAACAATAGAGTGGCAAGGAAGCAGCACCAGGATGCGAGTCGGCGCTCGAGAGGGGTACAGCAGACCGCCGGGGCAGGAGGGGCATTCGAAGCCGCGGGAATCTTGTTGTCTTTTTCGTCCGCCATGTGTTCAGTATGGTATGGGGAGATTCGGTGTGAGTTCGAATTAACCAAAGCTAAGGGACCAAGATAATGGCGGGGAGGAGAAAAACCCCCAAAGCCGAAACGCACTGAGCGCGGTTACACATAGGTAGTTACAACGGTGGGGGCGGGAAAATGGAACTCGGCTGCTCTCTGGCTGCCGCCTTGCTTATTGCCGGAAACCGCCGCCAACAGCCTCGCCAAGTAGGTACCGAAGCGTATCGGAATGGCTTTCAACGAATAAGGGGCATAAGTTCAAAATGATCAGCATCGTTGCCGCCGAGTTGAGTGCTCCGCCACACACAACGGACCAAGCAGACTTGTGCATCGCCTTCCTAAAGAAAACATCACTTCTTTGCAAATTCCGCGGGTCCTATGGCCAAGTTGGCTATGCACTCATGAGGCATGGTATGTACGTGCCAACAGGTCAGGGCTGCAGCATCGCTGAGAAGGGTCCGTGTTGTCCCTTACGCAACCGCCAGGGTTTAACTAGCAACACTGCCGGCGAGCTCGAGATACTTGATTACCCAGGAAGATAAGACGCTTGGGACCCAAAGTGGGGGAGCTCACACGTACATGTAAGTACCTACCTAGGTAGATGTCTTTCCAGGCCATCAAAAGGAGGTATCAGTACAACTCCTGCGGCCACTATTAGGTACTCCTGATCAGACATGGCGGATATTCACCGCTTCCTCGATAGGATAACATTAATGACACCCTAGGTAGGTAGGTTTCTTCTCTCCACCGGCCCCCACCGGGGTTACAGACCAAAAAGTCTCAGATGCATCACATTCATGAAGCAGGTGTATTGGGACCCCCTTGACTGTATCGGACTCCCCCCTTTGGGTACCTACCTAGATATTAGGTGCCCATTTCGTAGCCGTCTTCCGCGGAGGTACGTGTCGGTGAATATGGGAATCCCAAATGGTATTATTATTCGGGACATCTTTACCCAAGGGCTACAGAAGGATCGTCCAAAAGCAGCCACCGTACCAAACGCCCATCATTGTGATCTAGCACCGTACTTGGCTCCTAATAGAGAAGAATCGTGTACCCTGATGCTGTCTCTGCGGTGCCTCGGTTCCAACGCAACCCCCCTTTCGCTTGAAGTACAGCAACCGTGGACCAACAGGCCTTGGAGTCTTGGACCAACCACAACCAACCTTTGCGCCAGTTGGGCTTTGAGACAACCGGGCTGCAGCTTTAACGAACAAGGCAGAATCCCAAGATACGGCCCCCAAAAGTGCTTAGGGTCGAAAATCTCAGCCTAGGGGTAGTTGAGGGGTGGAAGAACAAACTTCTATAAGATGAGGGTCCCCCGGAGCGCTTCGTTGCCGGCATCGTCCAGCCGAGCTACCATCGCACTCAAACGATAGTCGAGCGACCCAGAATCTCTACAGCATCTAATTAGTATCTAGTTACTACCTTCATCATTCACCATGCATCTCAAACTTCCTTCCATTATTCCATCCCTTTTGCTGGCTACTCAAGCCCAGGCCTTCCGCGTCACTTTCTACTTGGGTTCCCAGTGCCGCGGCGCCCGGCTGGGCTCTGGATCCTACGTTTACCCAGGGTATTCGTACCCTGATGCTTGCCACAACGTTCCTCCCAATGCAATCTCGGCGACCATCGAGCCGGAGGAGCTGGATGAAGAATCGAACAGTGAGTTCCGCCCCTGACCAATCTTCTCGTCTGATCTGGCCCTACAAGCGTAAATCCTGCACAACGAGTGAACGTGGCTGACCTTTGGACGCGATACAATTTCAGACGTCGCTTTTTGGAAGACATGCAGCCGAGATCTCGTAGCCAGCAGCGACGACAACTGCGTCAATTTCCAGGGAGCGACAAGGTTCTCGATCCGTGAAGATTGGACCGTCCCCGGAAAGCGGAGCGTCCCTTCCTCTGCTACTGCCTTGACGGAGGCCAGGGCCGGCGCCATCGACCCCGCGCCCCCAACCCAGAAGGCGCGTGCGCGTGGTCGTGCTCGTATTCTCGCCAATGCCCCCTGGTCCGCCGAGCAAGCACGCCACCGGCAGCTCCTCAAAGTGCCCGAGGCCAGCGCGCTCGGCTCGCTCTCGCCGTACTTTGACCCGGACCTGCTGGCCGAGGCCGGGTTCGGCCACGGCAACGTGTCCGAGGTGTTTGGAAAGACGGTGCGCTGGCAGCAGGTCGCGCTGGGCATCACCGTGGGCGTGCCCGTGGATGAGTGGGACGATGCCGTGCATGTCAAAAGCGAGGCGTTCGTGCCGTACGGGGATGTGGTGCAGTCGGCTGGGCTTGAGGTGCGGGATGGGTGTGGTGGTGGTGGTGGTGGTGGTAGTGGTGGTGGTGCTAGCGAGGAGGAGGAGGAGGAGGAGGAGGGGGTGTGCCATTCGAGCTGGGGTCTAGTGGAAAGGGCGGAGCATGAGAAGAGATGGGATTATGCTTCTTGCCGGTCGCTGTTGACGTGCGTGCGGGACACGGTCGGCGGGGAGTGGGTGCGGCTCGCGGATGGGTGGGCTCAGGGGGTCGCGTGCGCCGATAGGATCAAGGCGTTTGGTACCACCCTTTATGATTATGTCCACCAATTTCCGGTGACCTGTGAGGTTGTCAAGCTGGCCGCAGGGGGCGTCATTGGTTACGGGTTTTCTCAAATCGGTTCTGGTGGACGTGCGACGGCTCAGGACAACGACGAGCTGGGCAAGTGCTCGGACAATTCCCAGGTCAATGCCTTTGTCGACAGCATACTCGAGGCGGCCAACGCTGGCGACGAAAATGTGGCCCGGACAGATATCACCATGGGCAATGGCCACATTCTTGTCTTGTACGGACGTGTGTTTCCGAGAGACGCCCAGCCGCCAACCGATCTCTGCCCTGCTTAGGTAGATATAAATGGAACATGAGGGACGCGTCACGTCTCGGGGGTTGAATAGGCTCACCCCAAACATATTATATTGACGAATGAGGGTATTTCCATGGAAGAGAGCGTTGGGAATAGGAGTTTTGAGATGTAGGTACCTTCCTTAGGCATATCTAGGCAGATGCATCCCAATTCCTCTTCTTTTCCCTTCTGTTTCTTCACACATCATTCGATTTTTCTTCTCTGCACCTGTCACTCATCGAAAAAATCACTCGCCCTGGCCTCAGCTCACCCTACGCTGCCCTTTGTCTTGTTTCTTTAGACACTGCACCATACTAGAATACAGTAGGTTATTAGGTCAATGGGTCAAGGCCCAGAACGCGGTGGCAAGAGATCACTCGGCTTAGGCCAGGTGCGGTTGCATGCGGTGCCACCATCGCCACTCAGAGAGATATATCACGGAGTTTGGAACCCCCCTACAGAAGGGAGGGGGGGAGAGAGAGAAGAGAGACGATTAAGATTGAATTTTAGGAGAGCCTCATAGCCCCCTAGCCTCAGCAGTGTGAATCCCCATTCGTGTGTGTGTGTCACCTTGGGTCAGTGGCTGTTGGTCTTCCAACAATATGCCACAAATCAGTCAACAAGAGTCGGATTTTGAACTGCCCTCGTTGCGGTGTATTAGGGCGTTGCAGTGGTGCAGCCCGATGTTGTAGGGTGGATCCACGCCACTCCGTGGCGTAGCCATCCATGACCTCTGAAAACCGGGTATACTCTGCAACTTCCTCCGTGGACCCCTCGGCTATCGGGCTTGCTTACACAGGCACGGGAAGTGGGGTTGAGCTGCCCCTCATCGCGCTTCCCTCGAGACTGCTTGAGCTTGACAGCGTTCGGGAAATTCTAGGTTCTGACTGTAATGCATGATCGATGGCACTAGCTCTCCTCTAAATTTATTTCGATGGGGCGAGGCGTGTCTTAGTTTCTTGGGGCTATTCGTCATACTCGCGAAACCGTTAAACCCCTCCAAAGGTATCTCCGACACCAAGCGGAGCTCGCCTCTGTAACACCATAACACCGTAACAACCGACGTGGACCGGAAGCCTCGGGCTCGGGGTTAGGGTCTCTGCGGGAATTGCCATCCTGTAGGCGCTTAAGACCATCTATCTCCGGGAGGGGGTCAACGGCATTATCTTGTAAAATCCATTGCTAGAATATCGTAGACTTCAAAAACCGGGTCTCATCCTCACGAAAGCAGCGAGAGTTATCTACCAAACCAAGAGCTCATCTCACACATTCCACATATCAACTGAAACCACTGCCTTTACCTTGACTCACATACCACATCCCACCACCAGTTTATCTCGCAACCATGGTCCACACAATCCAGGGCAAACAAGTCGGCAACATCGGCTTCGGCCTGATGGGTAAGTCACAACACTCACAGTCACACACTTACACACTCGCATAGAGACCATACCAACTAACATCCCCCCAGGCCTCAAATTCCCCCCCGGCCGCATCACCGAAGAACAAGCCTTCGCCACCATCAAAGCCGCCCTCGACGCCGGCTGCAACTACATGAACGCCGGCGAATTCTACGGCACCCCCACCGACAACACCCTGACCCTCCTCAACAACTACTACGCCCGCTACCCCGAAGACATCGACAAGATCCTCCTCAACGTCAAGGGCTGCGTCTTCGAGAACTTCCGGCCGGAATGCTCCCCCTCCGCCATCCGCACCAGCATCAGCAACAGCGTGCGGATGATTGGCGGGGGCGGGGCCGGGGGGGAGGGGAAGGTGAGGATTAATCAGTTTGAGCCGGCGCGGAAGGATCCGCTGTTAGAGATTGAGCCGATTGTGGAGGCGTTGAAGGGGTATGTGGAGGATGGGAGTATTGGGGGCATTGCGTTGAGTGAGGTTAGTGCGGCGACGATTCGGAGGGCGGCCAAGTTGGTGAGGGTGGAGGCGGTGGAGGTGGAGATTTCGTTGTGGTCGACTGAGCCGTTGGAGAATGGGGTTGCGGAGGCGTGTGCTGAGTTGGATATTCCTATTCTGGCCTATTGTGCGTATTTACTCTCCCATCTTTGTGCTTCTGACAGTATCACCAAGCTAACCACGTTAAATAGCCCCCCTCGGCCGCGGCATGCTCACCGGCCAAATCAAATCTTTCTCCGACCTCCCCGAGAACGACTTCCGCCGCCTCCTCCCCCGTTTCCAACCGGACGTGTTCGAAGGCAACCTCGGCCTCGTGCGGGAAGTCGAGAAGCTGGCCGCCCGCAAGGGCTGCACGCCGGGTCAGATCGCCATCGGTTGGGTACTGGCCGTGGCCAAGCGGCCAGGGATGCCCAAGATCATCCCTATCCCAGGTGCTTCTACCCCCGAGAGGGTGCGCGAGAACGCGGTGGAGATTGAGTTGGAGGAGGCGGATTTGGTGGAGCTGGAGAGAATTATGAAGGAGTTTGCGCCAAAGGGGGAGAGGTACCATGCGCATGCGCTTCAGTCGTTGGATAATAGCACGGCGTAGGGGGTGCACATATTGGAGCGTGGTGATGCGGAATGATAGGGAATGTTATGTATTTCTACAACAGTTGAGATCACGTTCTCTCATAGTCTGAAAATGTGAAAACCCAAAATTGAAAATGTTGACAGAAAGGCGTTCAAAAAGAGGTGCACTGCGGAGAGGGCATATAACCTCCTTCCGCGGGCGCTGCTTTCAAGTTAGCCTTTACCAGAGGCCGTCTGGTCGAGTGGAATTGCGTTGCGCTCAACGTAAATCAGCTAGCCAGAAATTTCGGGTGCGCATGCGTGGTATGTGCAAGCAAGAAATTTCGGAGGCACAAAGTTCGATCGGTTCGAATCCTGGGGTTGTACGCAGCTTCGCCTTTTGCACTTTTTACCTTGGTCTGATGTTTTGATGTTGATATGGAAGGAACCTGAAGTGACGTGACGCACTGTGGCCCCCACATGCTTCCCAGGTTTAAATGGTCCGTGCGTCATTATTTCGGCACGGTGCGAGGTGCCAAGTCCAAATATTTGGGACGTCGAGTCCAGCTTCAACCAACAATCTAACATCCTCCGAGTTGTCAACGACACAACGGCGAACACGGTCATCGCGACGTCAATCGCCGCGGCCGAACCATATGGGGACTTGATTTAGTTCGTGTAACCTAAGACCATCGCGATCACCGCACTACTCCAGGCGCACGCCAGCCGCGTCAGCGAATACCCGACGAGTCCGATCATCTGTCGAAGCCGAACCTTGGCTATTTCGAAACAGCCTCGCCCAGTCCCGACATCAGGTCCTACTGACTCCACAACTGTCGCATCCTCACAACCACCACCATCATGGCTTCCCGATGGGTAGACTGGTCGAAAACGACCCGATCCAAAGACTACCGCGGCTCCGGTTCCTTTGCAACCTTTCTCATCATCGGCCGTACGCAGCCCTCCCAACCCCTTCCCAGCCGAACCCAAGACCAAAACTAACATAATCCTCTCAATCTCAGCCGTCTGCTTCGCCCTCGGCATCCTTTTCGCCTCCTTCCCCTACGATTTCCCCCTCCTCTGGACCTCCGACCCCATCCCGCCCTCCTTCCTCGACCACCTCGAGACCCATCTCCGCCTCATGCACCAATCCCCGCCCCTCATCGCCCGCATGCTTCACATCATCGTCTTCGTCGGCTTCCTCGGCTTCTTCATCAAACTCTTCCGCCCCTCCGAAGCCAACGTGCTCTTCGACGGCGGCAGTCTGATCCTATACGTCATTGGTGCGGGGGTGTACCTGAGTAATATTGTCAAGGGGATGCGGGCTGTGAGTCAACCTGGTGGGTTGGCGGCGGCGGAGGAGCAGCAGAAGGCGGCTGCGGCTGCGGGGGTGGCGGGAACGGTGTATTCGGGCCCGTTGACGGGGGAGGTGGTGTTAGGACGGGAGGATAGTTTGAGGGTGTTGAGTGCGAGTCATGTGATTTTGGCGCTGGTGTTGGTGGGTGTGTTGGTGTTGCAGGCCGGGCAGTGGTATGCGGAAAGGAAGGAGGCCGATGAGGTGGCCAAGTTGGATCGGGAGGCGTCGGAGAAGAGGGCTGCGGCTGCGGGGGGGAAGAAGAAACAGTAGTATGTGGGTGTTTTAGGTGTTTCAGGCTTGTGTAATTTAGATGGGGAGGGTTGATAGACGGAGTGGATAAACGGGGTTGGGTTGGTTAAAACGATGCTCTTGCGCATAACCTTCCATGACCGCGGCCACCAACTAACCTGCACGAACATCCCAAACCATCCCGTGTTGACGCTCAAAACTTGATTAAAATATCTACGACTCGAAGGTAATCATCCAGCTCTCCGTCTCCAGCCGGCTAAGGGTATAAAAGGTGTCTGTCCCATCGTACAATCCAACAAACCCAACACAGATACGGCCAAGCGCATCTCGTCGAGATCATCTCCTCGTCCCACAGCCCTCCAAGTCTAACCCACATATATCGTATATCGACCAACCCCCAACCCCCGAAAAGCAACGCCAAACCCAAGGCCATGCCATGCAAAAGATAAACAGGAATGTCCACCCACCCCAATAGGAAAAGGGAAGGGAAGGTAACCCACAAGGAAAAGGGTATGAAACCACCACCACCACACAAGGGGGTCAATAATAAAACTTGAGAAAATCACCTCCTCGGCACAGGCGGAACCAGCCCCCCATTCCCTCGCCCATCATCATGATCATCCGCATAAGCATCCAAAAACGATTCCCCCCTCGCCATGCCCCCCAAATCCGCCTTATCCAACATCTGCGTGAAAGAGGTCATTTGCGTGTATCTATTATTCCCTCCCCCCGGCCCCCCTGGTCCACCCTGTCCGGGTCCGGGTCCGCCGACCCGGGTATCCCTCACAGCAACATCCTCATACTCATCCGCATTTGTCTCCGGTGTACGATCGGGTGTAATATTCGGATCGGCAAAGACGTTGATGCTTACCGAGCTGGGTTCTCTCTCTCTTTTATCTTGCTGCCCCGGTTGGAGTTGCTGTTGCGCTTGTTGCGGTGGTGGTCCTCTAGGGAATTGTTGCTGCCGCGGAGTTTGCGGCAAGTACCCGCCCAACCCGGCCGGCCCACCGCCGTGGTAGATCTCGTCGTCGATGTCGTTGGGATCGGAGGGGGAGAAGGGCATGCGGAGGTAGACGTTTTGTCCTGCCCCTCCGGGTCCTCCTAGTCCTCCTAGGCCTCGTGCTGCTGCTGCGCTTAGGCCGGCGCCGAGACCGGCACCGGGTCCGGGGTCGAGGTTGCCGTATCCGCCGTATGCCCCTTGCTGTTGTTGGTGTCCCGCCAACGCAGCAGCCAACGGAACAGCCGGCATAGCACCGCCCGCACCAGCCCCCGCCTCAGGGGAGTTCACACTCGAATCAATCAACGCCCCGGTAACAGAATCCGGATCCTCCGGTGGGGTGCGCGGCCCCGGGCCACGGGCGAAGTCGGTGCGGAAACTGTTGTCGGCCACGATGGGGTTGCTGATGAGGTTGCCGAAGGAGGAGGTGGAGCGGGAGAGTTTGGGGGGGCTGTTACCCCCTGGACGGTTTCCTTTCTCGCCAGAGTCTTTGTTTCGTTTGCGGAAGAAGATGAAGGCTAGGACGGCGGCGCCGATGATGATGACACCCGCGGCTGTGGCGCCGCCTGCTATGGCTGCTACGGGGGTGCTGTTACTGTTGCTGTTATTGTTGTCGGAGGAGTTACCGCCGGTTGGGTTAGCTGTGGGATCACCGGTGCCCGTTGATGTCGGGTTGGCGCCGCCTTTTGTCGTTGTGGTAGCGCTGGGTTTGCCCCCGCCCGTCCCGATCGGCGCGGCGTTCTGGTTACGATCGCGCACGCATAAGCGGTCGACGCACGAGTAGCCAAAGGGACAGCACTGGTCGCCGCACTTGCCGAGCTTGCCGTCCAGCGCGGTGGTCTTGATGACGGCATCCGGGTTTAGCTTGCCATCTTGCAGCTGCAGGTTGCAGGGCACTGGCTGGATGCGCAGGCAGTCGGAGCCGGCCGGGCAGCAGAGGACGGTGGTGTTGGCGGCGAGGGCGATGCAGGTGGTGCTGGCGCCGCAGCAGAAGTAGTCGGGGAAGTCGGGGTTTTTGCACCGGTTCCAGTTGGGGGCGCAGGTTGATGATGTTTGTGTTTGCTGCGACTGGCGTTGGAATAGTTCGTGGAAGGGGACTGCTGAGGCTGTGGCTGTGTGTATGGCAGCTATGGAAGCCGCCCAGAGCGCGAGCCGGCGCCTGAGCATCGTGGGGTTGTTGGTGTTGGTGAAGCCAGACTTGGTTCGTGTTCGCGTGAGAGCGCCGAAGGGGAGAAAGTGTGGCGACGCCGATGTAGTCGTGCCCGTCGGCCCCGTTTCGATATGTACCGGGACAATGGGGCGGGTCGAAGTGAAGAGAGCCGCAGCGGCTCAACCATCAAAGAAGCCCGCGGAGGACATGTACACAATACAACGGGACACCTAAGGTGCGGGAGTAGGTGCGTGTGACCCGTGCACACAAAGCGGCCTTGTTGTTGTTGGCAGTGGCCTGGGTGAGTCAATGTCGCTTGTTCGATGAAGAGGCCAAAGAACAGAAGCCGAGCGAAGACAACGCCAGAGCAAGCCCGCCGGAGCGTAGTAGGAGAAAGAGAGGAGTCGGGAAAACTGTGTCTCGAGCACTCGCTGGAGAGGTATATCGAACCGCAACATCAGATGCCAGCGTTCGTACAGGAACCCGCCGACAACGGGTGAGTGACGCAACCAGCTCTGGTTGGCTCTGTTTCTGTTTCTAGTCTCGTTCTGCAGGGTGCAAAATGCGAAGAAACAGCGCGACCGGGGGTTACGAGGAGGTTGATCTGGAAACGAATCCCCAGGTGCCAGCACCAACAGAGAGGAGGTGGTGGGCGACCCAAGTTTGACGATATCTTGCGCCGATCGACTGGCCGTTAGATGGCCGCGGCCCTAGGCCGTCAATCCATGGTCAGTCAAGCATGCGTGCTGAGATCCATCGCTGTCGCCGAACGGGAGAAAGTTCTTGTGTGCCCAGTGGCCGGCACATCGGGCTTCTGATGGCCTGCTGCAGGGACCGATCGATGAGGCACTGCGAGCCCCTTGATTGTAACGCACTTGAGCCCAGTTCAGTCCAGACTCGTTCCTCTCAAAGTGTTGTCCATTTTGCGTTGGACACGCTGGAACTTCCCGGGTTCCCCTGCGAGAGACAGCGTCACCAACATCCCCAAAAGCGAGGCGGTGCGTTAGCCGTTGTATGAGAAAAATCGACTCTTTTCTCGACGATAGGCCGATACGAAAGCGTGAGCTGCCCGACGAGCCGAAGGCGGCGCGAGTGGTGAGCAAGAGTTGAAAGAAATCGGCCCCTGCCGAACTGTGTTTGGAAACAGGGTCGCTTTTGGCCACGGCCGCTGCTTTGATTGGGCAGTTGCATTTCCTGCTACTATTTTGGGCGCAGCGGTTGGTTGAGACGGAACGACAAGTTTCAAGTGGCCCGTGCATGGCCCCACCGTTCGTTGCACGTGCCAGACTGCTCTGGCAGCTTGGCAGCCTGAGAAGTGAGGTTTGGAGTTCTGGCACAGCCCGCTTTTTACCGCTGGAGCTTCACTTCAGCGCTTGCTGTCGGCACTCACTTTTTCGTGAGCAGCTCTCGTCAGCCTCAATTGCGGCCGACGATGCATGCCCTGCGATGGCCCTCTGCAAGGCAAGCCCGCAATATGGCCATCTGACTTTTACGAATGGTCTTCATCAATCCGATATCGAGACACCTCCCCGGTTGTCGCCACGAGGTACGCACTACCCGTGGCTGAGGCGACCATCCGGCCGCTGTTAGTGACTCCAAGGTTCCTCAAAGCAACCCAACTGGGTGAACAACACCACGCTTGCTTGACTCACTCGATGAACGGAGGCAGCCCAGAATTTTACCCTCTTCACTTTTGCCCCTTGCTTCGAGGCAACTGGTAAGGCAGGAAGGCGAATGGAGGCGGCCGTTTTTCGCGGCCAGGGCAGTGCGCCGTTGGCCCTATATACATCCCAGGCTCAAGGCCGTGCTGTTTCACCTCCCGAAACGACCGTAGTGTCGGCCCTGCAAAAGGTAACGATAGCTCGTTTTCTGGAAGGCCTCGAAGTTCAATGGAATGACGTTCATCCCAACTCACTCCCTGTAATCAATCGTAGAACAACTCGTAGAACACGGCCCGTGGTGGTTTAGGCAGTATGCTTAACCCGTCGTCTGACCTCAAACTCAAAACTCAACAAGGACTCAAGACTCAACACGGCCAACACCCTCCAGGCCAAACCCAATCGCATCCCCATTCAACCATATCAACCATCACTTATCCAACACCCTCTAACTTACCCTCCATCACATCCCAAGTAACCCAAAAAATACAGGAAACACCCAATCCTCCCCTCTCCTGCGCAACCGCGACAATGGTCAAACATCCACCCGTCCATCCACCCGTCGGCGACACGATATAAGCGCCGGCTCCGGTGCTCTCACTGAATCGATACAACGTAAACCACGGGGCCCACAAGAACCCGGGGCTCCGGAAACCTGATGCATGCGGTAAGCAGCATACTACCTGGAGCATATCATGGCAGGTATAGCATAGCATCGCATCGCATCCCTATCATACCCGAAATGCCTTACCATCCTTGCTTACCCTGGTATCACCAAGCCGGAGCCAGGCCCGCCTGACGCCTTACATACCCGCCAACGTGTCACAGCCCCCTCTTTGGTAGTAGTGTATGCTTCGTAACCGCGATGATGACGCCATTGTTTCACTGTGTTCACTGTCACTGTGTCTGTCTGCTGTGTCGGTGGGTAGATGGTTACCTATTCGTATTCTAGCCCTTTGTGTCTGTCTCGCTTCTCTGGTTAAGGAGACACCGGGGGAAGGAAGGAAAAGGCTACCGGCATGGTGGGATTGTGACGGGGACAGTGACGTGACATGACGGTGATGGCGGTAGTGGTTCCGGGATACCTGTACCTAATTCCCTATTCCACGGCATGAGAGGGCATGGGACAGCATGATATGGGATGCCCTTACCTGGCTGTGCTACATTTATGTCATTGTACCACCCCCCACACCGCCAAACGATAAAACAAGCGCGCAAAGAGACGCCGTGGAAAGTAAGTAGCCGCCATCGTCATACACCGACTGCTGCATCTTACCGTCCCTACGTGTCCGGAGTTCCGCTGCGGTGGGTTGATGCGGCGGGTGCTTGCGGCTATGGTGAGTGTGTACTAGGCTAGCTGTTGATCTGTAGGTTGCTGGCTTAGATGTATGTCTGGATGGGGGATGAAAGAGATACTGGAGTGGAACTACGGTGATGGATACATAAGCGCGGTGAGGGTAAGACCTGCGGAAGTGGGTGCAGATAGCATGTTGTGATCCCCTCTAGATAGTATGTTGTGATCCCCTCTAGATAGTATGTTGTGATCCCCTCTAGATAGTATGTTGTGATCCCTCTGACTCAAGTGTCAATGGCTCGGGTACTCAACTCCGGACTGCGTTCAGTGTCAAGTCGTAGGCAGTCAATTGCTCACATCACCAGTAAGTCACCAACAAGGCACAGGAACAGAGTATTATGTTGACCAGTCTCATTTTGACTTCGGGTATCGTCTCCGACATTCAACTACTTTACTACTTGTACACATTTCCAAAATGACCCCCATGGTATCCCCGTCCCAAAACTCCCTCATGATGCATGCCTCTCTCTCTCTCTCTCTCTCTCGACCCGGGAATACCGGGGAGACCACTAGAAGATTAACATCCAAAGCCAGCAAGAAAAGAAAGGGAAGATATAAATGAGAGTCAACCCAAAAAAAGAAACCAAAAGAAAAAAGAGAAAAGAAAAGAAAAGAAATCCTCGAATGTCGCACCCAACAGCCCCAGTCCAAAAAAGACTGCTGGGTGCTCCCATTCTCCCAGATCCAGTGTGTTGTTGGTGTTGTTGTCCAGACAAGTGTAAACTCTTCCTCCTCTCCAGCTCTGCCTTCCACCACTTACTCAACAGTGCTGTCTGTTCAGGTGCTTGCCTCGCGGCAACCTCTAGTAGCCCGAGTGACAAGAAGAATAGAAAATAAAAAAAATAAGAGAAGATATAATAACCTGTCCCAGCCAGTTCCTTTTTTTTTCCTTTTTTGTTTTTTGTATGCTTAGATGAGATGACTAGATGAGAAGGTAATCCCACCCCTTCATCTGCATCACATCCCTCCAATGCACAAACTGCCCTTGCTGCTCCTGCCCCTCACTCTGCTGAAGCACCCCATCATTCTGCGCCCACCCATCCCTCAACAAACACGCCACCCGTCCAAAACTCCCCAAATTCCCCTGCTCCCCCAACAACGCCAACCTCTCCGCAAACAACCCGCGGAACGCCGAACCGGGCAAACTGACCGAGCCACCGACGAGATAAACCCACGCCAGCGAGCGATCAAACCCGCCGAGCCCGGAGGGGATATGCTGGAGGACAGCAGCGAGTTTGTCGACGAGCCCGACACAGCTTGCCTGTGTGGGGGAGAACCCGGGGACCAGGCTGCAGAGGTAGATGCGGGCGGCGAGACGGAAGGCGGCGGTGATGTTTTTGGTGAGTTGTTTGGGGGAGAGGGTGCCCTTGGGGGTGAAGGGAGAGGTAGTGGAAGTAGCGGAGGGGTCTTCGTTCTCCGCTTCGGCGGCCTCGGTCAGGCCGATTTGGTCTCCCAAGACGTGCACGTGCTGGCACAGCGTGATGTCATCCATGCCATCGCGCTTCAGCGCCTCGAGGCAGGCGATTTCGGAAATGAGATACATGACCCGGTCCTCGCAGCCCATGAGCTCGCGGAGCCCGAGGGAAGGGTTGGTCAGGCTGAGGTGCTTCTCGCGGTAGGTGTGTGCGAAAGTCGGCGCGCGGCCTTGCATGGTGGCGCCGAGGATATCGATCCACGCGGCGAGGGTCATGTTGAAGGGGGCTTGGGTGAGCGGGGGGGAGTTGGGGTCCGAGACGAGACGCGGAAGGTCGAGTTTTTGGACCAGGGAGACGACGGCTTGGAAGTGCTGGTGCCAGGCGATGTCGGGCAGGGTGTCGTCGAAGCGGCCGACGCCGCATTGGAAGAAGATGAGACCGAGCGCGGCTTCGAGGATTTGTTGGTGGTCTTCGTCTTTGTTGAGGGCGTCGCAGAGCGCGGAGATGGTTGCGTACCGGTGGCGCATGATGTCGCCGTCGAGCTCGTCGGTGTTTTCCGAGGAGACTCGCCCGTCGGCTTGGCAGGCGGCCTTGTAGTGCTGCGCGGCGATGCTGAGGCAGCAGTGGAGGTAGCCCTTGTTGGTTTGTAGCGCGGGGAGGATCAGGTCGGAACTGACCGAGCCGTGCTGGTTGGCTTCGAGGATGGGGAAGATGGTTGGTACCACGTACTGCACGAAGTGGTCCAGGAGTCGCTGGTCGCCCTCGTCCAGCTCAATGGCCACCTGGCGCGTGTGGGATGTGGTTGTGGTGGTGGTCGTCGTCTTGGTTGTCCCTGGTACTGCTGGTGCGCCTGGTGCTCCTCCCTGAGCAAAGTCGAAAAAGTTCACGTTGAGCGTCTCCTCCGTCAGCGACTCGCGGCGTTCCGAAAACACCTGCTCCGTCCACTCGCCGCCTTCCGGAGGCGGCGGGAGGCCGTTGCTGAGAAACTGCGGGAGAATAGTGCCCGGCGGTGGTGGTGCGCTGGCGTAGGTGCTGAAGGTCGAGGTGGTCGACTCGCGGAGGGTGGGCACGTCGTTGATGAACATCTGGCGCTCCGTCTTGACGTCGATCTCGTAGGGGGAGTAGGGCGAGAAGAAGAACTCGGGGTGCGCGTGTGGGTGACCGTTCATCTGCGCGTGCATCTGCGGGGTGAAGGGCCCGTATTCGAGCTGCGAGTGCGAGCTCTGCGGGCTGCTGTTGAAGTTGAAGCTGTATTGCGAGTCGATCGATCCCGAGCGCGCGCGGTCGAGATCAGTGAAGGTCGCGGATGTCGGGAGCGAGTGTGAGAGGCCTGGGGGAGAGCCAACTGCGGTCTGGATGGAGTGGGCGTGGGCGTGTTGCGCGTGTGGTTGTTGTTGGGGCATGCCATGAGGATGGACATGAGCGTGAGCGTGGCTGTGGCCATGCGCCGACTTCTCCGTCAACTTCTTGCGCTTGATGATGTTCTTGATGTCGTCCTTCTGCTTCCGCCTCGCGTCGTTGTTGCTCCACCACATCGGCCTCTTGTACTCGCACACCAGCCCGAGGTGCTTGCACGCAGTGCACATTGGCGAACCCTCATCGCACTTCTTCCTCCGTAGGCGGCATGTGTAGCACCCTGTTTCCCGTGTGTTAGTCTTTTCCCGTTTCCCATCTGTGTGAGTGTATCCAAGCAAAGTAAAACCACGAACCTGTCCTTGATCGCCGGTGCATCTGTGACTTCTGCTTCGCCGCGCCGTTGGCAGCACCCTTGGCGCCCGCCTTGACCTTTGTCGACCCCGTCGTCGCTGTCGCCGTCGCCGTTGCGGTTGCTGTTCCGGCAGCCATCTTGACCTGCGATGGCTTCGTCGTAGACTGCTGGTGTGGGACCGGGTTGGGGGGTACTGTTGACATTTGTATCCTCCTAGGGGGGGTCAAGGTAGAAGAGGGTGAATGTGAGTGTGGTGTGGGGGTGGAACTCTCAGGGGGTCCCTGGGAGGGTGTGTGTGGCCGGTTCAGGGGGGGCGTGTCGTGTGAAACCGGCTGAGGGGTGTGTGTTGCTTGCCCTCGTCTGAAGACGGGGGAGAAGAGAGAGGGAGGAAGGAAGCCTGTCCTTCTTGATCCCAGCTCTTTTTCAAGCTTGCCGTCGAGAAACTCGGGATTTTTCGAGGCGAATTTGTATTAGATTACTTGTTTGTTGTTGGTTTGTTGCAAAAAGTGAATGACTGGATTCGAGCAAGTCCGGCTTGCTGAATGAAATCTGAATGTTGAAATGCTCAAGTGTCCGAATGTCGAAGGTATCGATCTTGGTTGGTCGGTGCGAGCAAAGTAAGTAATTAAAAAGAGAGATAGAGAGAGAGAAGAGTCTTGTTGACTGGACTGGACTGGACTGGACGACAACACCGGGGGGGGGGATCTCCAACTTCGTTTTCTGGGCCTGCTCGAGGAAAGGAAACAAACATCAGGGCCGGTGGGAAGTGGGCTAATTTGTTCCTTATATCTCTTAACCCTCTTCACTTCCCAGCCCACATCCAGCCTTCCGCGCAGTCCAGCTCGCCAGCACACACCGGCCATTTTGGTGCTGTTTCTATTTTTGAACATGCACATGGTGGGCTAATTGTCCGCTTTCTGTGATTAACCCATTTTTGGGATATTTGCCCACTTCTGGGGACCCAGAGTGCCTGCATGTGCGTCGTCCTGCGAGTGGTTGCGTCCGCCGATCCATCCAGCCTGTCTGCTCTCTGTCTCTCCTTCCCTCTGCTCTTCGCACTGGGGGCGGGAAGACAGGGGTTCAGCTGCCGCGCTTATTGGTGGACCACCACTCGACCCCCGGTCACTCGGCACATTCGCACTTCCCTTTACACTCTCACTCTTCACTCTCAGGGCCTGTAGGGTAGCAGCAGCAGAGGCAAGGTGGGGTCCATGTTGGCCTTTCTGCTCTCCGGTCCGCGCGAGCGCAGCGAACAAGAAGGAGGGTCACATCGAACAAGATTTCTTGACATGGGTTCAGAAAGTGGGTGTGTGGGCACACACGCACACACAACGCCCAAGCTCCACGGTCCAGTCCAGTCACCGGTCCGGCCACAAGCAAGCTCCAGCGATTCAAACAGGCAGCTCGATGGATTTGGGGGGGGACCCCATTTCGCATCGAGGGCCCGACGCGGCCGGCCGATTTGACCGGCCGCCTCCCATTTCGCCCATTGGCACGGGTGGGTGTCACCCGCAAAGTTGCAATTCTTCTGATCAGCGGGGCCGAGTGGAAAGAGAACTCACATGGGGGGGAACCGGCCAACAAGCCCTGGGGAAGCAGTTCGCAGCAGAACCACGAGCGGCCGCTTGAGTAGGACAACTGGCATCGCCGATGAGGCAGCGATGTAAGGCCACACTCTGTCAGCCTTGCTGTTGGTGTTGGTGTTGAATGTTCGTGTTGGAATTATCCGTAGAATAGTTGTCAGGCCGTTGCAAGACTCACCTTCAACGGTTCATTCTGGCTCTTTGAGAAGAGGAGGGCAAAAAGCCGAATAAGACACCGGAGCACACCCCGGGACCGAAAACGCAGGGCCGAGTCTAGTACAGTCGAGTTGAACCATGGTCCACGGTCCAATCGATATTGGCTGCCGGTCCGTTCAGTCGGCTTTGCACTTTCCCCTCGTCCGGTTACTTCTCTTTTTCCCCTTTTGCGAAATCTTGGCATCAAGCATCCAGAGTTCGAAAGGAAGTCAGTAACACAACGCCCAGGGGAGAGGTACGGCACGGGCTGGGATGGATGGAATGTGAGATCCCAGCTGGGAACACAGTACCGTATTCCCGTCCTCCATGGGAAACACACGGGTCGGGCTGGTGTATGAGCCGGTCAGGAGGAGGCCGAGGGGGAGAGGGGTTTTGTCGTGGTTAACCCGCTAAACTCCTTCCTTTGACTCGGGAAACGAAGACAATGCGGCTTGTTCCGGGTGCGTTTTTTGCTCGCTCTCTCTCTTGGTGGGAACAACCCTCCTCCCCGTCGTCGTCCTCGGACAGAAGCCCGAGCCAACAACACACACCGAAGAGGCGTTTCTGCTCAGTCCCCTTGCACGTGGGCTCTTTCCTTTGCTTGCTTGTTCGCTTCCCTCGTGCCCGGGAGGAGAGGAGGGGGAAGCCATGTGAGGGAAAAGCCTCTTTCTCAGCTCACGACAAGGGCCTGTTTTTGCATGATGCCGAAAACCCACGGGACTCGGCTTATTCTTGAGGTTGACGATCTCGAAATCGAGAAATCAAAAGTCTCAAATCAGAAACCCCCGTTCGCAAATCAGCTGCGCGGCGTTGACTATTGAGATGGGATTGGCCGCCTCGCTTGGCCATTCGCTGGGCTTGGTCTGCTTGCTGCGAGGCCGGTCATTCAACGTTCATCTGGCCGCGCCCGTGGTCGTTTCCCCATGGGCCCATCCGGGCCATCCATCCATCCATCGGCTGGGCCCCATCTCATCATCGGAGGTGTTCAACCCTGGGCTGGGCCGCATAATTACCACCGGGACTTGGCTCTCACGCCGCACGCACACAAAACCCTCAACGAGATTTTTGGATTTTTTCTTGCGCGCAGTGAGAGCAACGCTGGTCCTTGTTGAAAATGGGCCCTGTCTGCGTGCGGGGGGTGGGTTGCTTGCTGCTGTGGTAGCATCCCCGATGGCCGCGGAACTTCGGGTGCGAGGAGCGCACCAGGCCAAAAGGGAAAATCGACTGCAGAGAACAAATCCCAGAGAAGGCCGGTGGGTGCGAAACTGCGGATTGGTTGTTGCGTGGGACGTGACGAGCATTGCAACCGAAGGACAGAGGCGGGGGTTGGAGGGAAGCTGAAGACGTTGCGTCCTGATTTGCTGTGCTCTGAGTGGGTCCAGTGTGACGGCAAATCGTTCGTGCATATCAGCATGCGGCCCGAGAGGCGGAAACCAACCCAGATTGGCTCGCCCATCAAGATCACCCAGGGTCCCTTGCAGGGATTCTTGCGCAAGCGCGCCCGTGCTTTGGCCAATCATATGCGGGGGAACCAGGGGAGACTTGCAGAAAAATTGCTGCGCCGGGGAGCCCTGCGCGGGTGAAGATGGGGGGGAAAGGTGCGGGAAAATCCACAATGCCCGGGCCCCACCTGCCCTGCTGCTGGTCGGATGATTGATCCACAACTTTGTTGTGTGCAGCCGGCTGGCCTGGGGGAGCAGAGGCTTGGCATTTTCGATTTTGACTTTTGCGGGACGAAGAGGCACAAGCGGCCACACGGCGGCGTCGAGCAGCCTTGCAGGAAAGATGGGGCGTGGCTGCGGAAGAGTAGTTCGTCGAGTTTGCTCTCTCTCTCAGGTGCAGGTGTGCAAATGGCCGGCATGGCGACTTGTGGACGGTGGGCGTCGGGTCATCGGTCCAAAATCCATGTTTTCCACGTTTGTTGGTCAGAGCGTCGTCACTCGTGATCGTGGAAACTGGAAAACAAAATCGAGAAAAATCATCGAACAACGAGAGGACCAACACAAGCGCCGGGCTGTAGTTGGCATTTGGGGTCCAACTTTTATATACGTTGGTTCCTGCCCATCACGGGCTCCTATTTTCGTGGCTATGGGCGATATTGCTTGACAGTCCCGGAGGATTCGATCTCATGATGCGTGGTTGTTGTTTGCTTTGGGTTGTACTGGAAGTGGTCAGCAGCAAGATCAACCCTGCAGGAATCCAATAATTGGGCTAATTAGCCGCCGTGTGACTGTTTTTGGAAATTAGCTCACCATCGCTCTCCGATGTGATCAAAATTAGCCCGCTTGCATATCCGGGCTAATTATGTCTACTCGATCGGCCGGTCAGTTTTTTTCAGCTTTGGATCAACACCGACTCTATTTTTATTTTGCCCACATTCGCTTCCGACCCAAATTAGCCCGCTTAGCAAAAGTTAAGTTTTTTTGGGAAACAAAGCTAATTGACCCCGAAGAAGCCGAGTTTAACCCTCCCTTTCCAGAAAGGAAACTCGATTCTTCAAATTCCTCTTCACAGTTCGCACGGTGCTTTCCTCCCGTTCAAGGGTTCCTGCTCTCCATCCTTCATCTCCACCCCCACCTTGTCCTAACATCTGCCCAGCGGGAGGAAATAACGTTACCCTGAACCCCCGAGCCATGCCAGCACGGGCCAAGCAAGGTGAGGTCACACAAACCTCCGCGACCCCCTGCGATCTTTCCACACACAATCTCGACTCCGAGGGCCGGTCGGCTTCACGGCTAAAAGAGAGAAAGGCCCGATCACAGACAGGGTGTGCCGGCGGGATCTGCCATTTAGCACTTTTTGACGAAGATGGGTTGATAAACTCCTCCCACATACCGGGGGAAAATGAGGCAGAGGAGGAGGGTGATGGATGGAGGGGTGATGAGGGTCGAAAAGAAGCAATTGATGCGCAATTGGCAATTGTGCTTCCGTGCGATGGCTGACTTCGGACGGCTTTTCCGAGACATCGTGATAACTAGCAAGGAGAGCATCGCGAAAGCGAAGCCGACCGATTCCGCCCGTTGCAGGCATTGTTACGTACTCCGTTGCCTGTGATGTTGAAAAGCCCGATCAACAAGGGATCTTCATATTTTCCGCTCTCGGTTTTCTTCCGTCAAGTTTCGATAGCACTGGCTGGCCCGTGGACCGTGGCTGAATGCGGGGCGGTAGGTCCTTTGTTCTTCTGCTCATGATTTTGGCGGTTTGAGAGTGAACACAACAAATTTCCGTCCCCCCGCCAGTCTCCCCCAACCCTTCCCGAAAGTGAGGGGAAGCGGGCCGGCCGGTATCGACCAGTTTTGGATATCTCATCGTCATTCCGGAGCGAGGAGGCTTGCATCTGGGCGCCGCAGCCGGTGCTC